AGTGAATATTAATCCCAAACAGTTGCAGATTAATACAAGATGTTCATTCATTTCATTCATGTATAAACCTGCCTGGTCCCTTGTTTTCTCACTTTTCTCACTCCTCCCTTTTTTACCTCATGCCTCCCTTTACAGTCAGATGTTACAGAGCAGTCATTTTTAATCAGCATCTTTATGGACAATACAGGAATTTTAAGCCTTATGCCAGAAAAAGCCTGGGCTGTCACACGCTGGATAATTGCCTCTGATGCCCAGATTCATTCTTCCCTTCCTCGCTCCAGAAATGACAATGCTCTTGACTGACATTGCAGCTGATGTGGGAGAATGTCGAGAATTCAGATTTTGTGTTTGGCCCTGCATGATATCGCATCACATCATTTATCCTGCACTAATTATTTGATTTGAAAGTTTCTCAAAGACACTGCTGTCATGTTTCCCATTTCATTTATGATGACAGGGGAAGAATAATGTGTCCGTGTGGGCGAGCTCCCACTGTTCCAATGACTACATGCAGTTTCCTTTTGATAGCAAAAGGCCAGTAGGAAGTAAGAGTGATGGAAAAACAACATCCAACTTCAACAATGACAGACCCAACTTGAGAGTTTAAAAACTTTGGTATAATTAGTCATGACAAGGCATTTAACAATATTTCCAGGTCACAAGAGAAGGCCATTCAAGGTGTTTGTATACCAAAACAAGACAAGAATTTAGTGATACGTCTTGAAAAACTAAGTACATTTTTTATTATTTTCACAAAAGATTAACAGTGTCTCAACTGATTATGTTTTCAGGTTGCCACAAAAGTTTAACCCTGAAAAAAGTCACTAGAATTGTCCCTAGTCACATTTTTTAAAGTTGCTAGAGGGTTCTGAAAAGTTGCTAAATATCGAGACAATGTCACTAACTTGTCAAACTGTCTTCTGATCCTGACCACAAGTCATCTTCACACTGGGTCATGCCTCTCATTGCACTTTCAAAATTTGTCTGGAGGTGAGGTAATGCTTAGAAAAGACTGTAGATATTAGCATTTGCAGTGGTTCCAAGACTGTTTCACTGTGTAAGGTATATTTTGTCTTTGAACTATTAGAATAGACAGCTATAGTTGTTTTCATAGAGAGGCATTCAAGTATTTAATGGTTTTAGCTAGTGGGGGTCAGTTGAGGTCTGCACCCTTCACAAATACCGGGCGTACACCGTAGTTTTTATTAATAGTAGAAAAGCACTAAATATTCTGCTGCTGTCAAATTATTATTTTTTCTAGGAATACTACATTATTGAGTGAGAAAAATATCATATTTCTTAACTTTTTGTTTAGTCTGGCTTTCTGCAAAGGAGACAGGGAGTACATCTTGTTCTATGAATCAAACAAATAGAGAAAACTGTTGCTAGCAGTGTAACGGAAAAGTCTTGCCATTTTGAAACTACTTTAGCATGTCTATGTGCCAAGATTCAAACTTAAGTCACTTATCTCAGTGCTTTCAGGGCTCAAACTAATAGAATAAACATACTTCCCCAGACGAAGTTATCACTTCACAAAAACTAAAAGTAATCCAGCAGCTTAATATTGCAAGAACTTGTGACATGAAATTTTGCAGCACCACCAGTAATGGCCATTTTCTTGATTTGAATTGACAGGACAAGCCTCAAAAAGCACTTTTGGGAAGAGAGGGTTCCACATTATTTTTAAGCCTTAAAACCTTGACTATGATGTGTAAATCTACATTAAAACTGAGGTTAAACGAAGTAACTGTACATTTTCACAGACTCTCTCTGCATTATGACAAGCTGCGCTCCTTCCTAAGTACCTTCCATCCTTTTTCTCTCACTGGCTTCTGTGTGTGGATCAGAATCATGTATTCATGCATACACATTAATGTTATCCCAAAGGAAAATTCATTTCCCCTGGCCTGGACACAATAAATCACGTTGGGCCAAAGTAAAGAGTCTGGAGTTGCAGAGACTGGCGGCAGTAGCCTTAGTCAGAACTTTTTTTCATCCAACATTAATCCAAGTACTTTCACAAGTTGAACTGAAATCCAAGTCAGAAAACATGGACATGTTTTTGAAATCATAAACGCAAGTATGAAAGAAGAAGTCAACTCATTCTGTTTAAATGTTTGACTTTAAGCCTTTGTCGACACTTCTGGGAAACAAGTTTCCGCAATGAGCCACATTCCATGTTTTGAAGCTGAATGAGTTTCATGGTCTTTCATCATCAATTTATCCCTCTTTACTTTGGTCTACAACTGTGGAAAAACTTAATCAAGAGGATGTGTGTGCACAAGAGACAGAACAAGATACTGTAGTGAAGAAATGAGAGCAGAAAGCTTTTCCAGACAGAGTTTTCTGTTTGCCATCTAACACTGATGAATTCAGAGGGCCTTGTTTTCCCCTTCCTCTTTCCTTTCTTCCCATCTCCTCTCTCGGTCAAAGCTACATATGACTTCAGGCTTCTACTTCTCAGTGAAAGAACATTTCCATCCAGATAAACTGACAGCTCACCAAAAACATGGTACCGTCAAACCACTTGCTTCTGATTTCTAGTTAGAGAAGATTTCTATGCAGTGATAGCTGACCAAAAATCTGGTATCATTGAAGCACGAACAAGTACACTGAGCAATAGAGCACCCTGAAAGGAACCTTAATAAAAAATAACCCTGCAAGTCAAATTTAAAAAAAATTAAAACAATAAGAACAAAATGCATTAATATCTGTGAATTTTTTTCAGTATCGGAGACATACCAACCGTCCATTTAAACTGGTAGAGTATGATGAGAGGATTATGCAGATAAGGGGCCGTATTATGTGTTTTCCAGCAACATCAATAATTTTATAGCATATTCAAGAAGGTAGCTATGTTACCTTCATTTGTTATAAAATGATATGTACATTAAATATGATCAAAATAATTTGACTTAACACCTAGATACTGGACATCCATCTCATTGAGAAACTCCTTCTCTTTCTGAAACTTCACCTTCAGCAAGTCATCACTCAACTATTAACCCTTTAACAACACTTTTTAACCAGCATTAAACTGAGAAGTAGCTCCTATAATGAGCTCATGTGATGCGCAGATGTTTGCCAATTGCTGTGGGCTAGTCTGATGGAGCCGAGTGAGGAAGTAGCACAGAGGGCTGCTCTTTGAGGCGGAAACTCAAAGCTCAGTAGCTTGGAAACAGCCGTTCTGAGGAGGAGCTGCACCTCAAAGGCGGCGCTTGACCCACCCAGACATTTTGCACAGCTGAATGGTTAAGGGAAATTTAAGGATTTCTCAAACATGCATGAAAGGATCAATGCCCGGTATGTTTTTGTTGAGGAAATAACATTATACCATGATACTGCCCCTTTAATACCATATGGTACTTCTGGAGGGGACTCAGAGACTCACAACTCAGCTTGGATAATCTGTTGACAAGACAGCTTTCAATTGTGCTATCCACAAATCTGACCTTTATGAAAGAGTGTGAACAGGGAAGCTGTTCTTAAAAGAAAATTATAGGAAGTCACATTTGCAGTTTGCCACAAGCCATGCAGGGAACACAGCAGACCTATAAAAAATGGAAATTTAAGACCAATGCTGACCTTTCACAGCCTTCAAGTAAAACACTATGTGTGGTGGAAAACTAACACTGCACATCATTCTGCACGCCATCCCCATCGTGAAATATTGTGGCTGGAGCCCCAAGCTTTCGGGATGATTTTCATCAAGTCCATTGAAGCTGAAAGGTGTTGATAGGGAGATGGATGATGTAAACACTGGACAGTCCTGGAACAAAACTGGAAGAGTCATCTTCACTAGAAGGACCCAATCAGAGTCAATAGCCACAACTGAATGGTTTGGATAGAAACATATTCATCTGCCGCAATGTCCCAAGTAAGAATATTTTGTAAACCTTGAAAATGACTGATGACAGATTCCCATCAACCAATCTAAATCTTGAGCTATGTTGCATAGAAAATGGGCAAGTCCTTGTCCTTTTACAGAGGAGGGAGAAACAAATCAAAAGACGGATCAGATCTGCAATGAAACATGGTTGTACACGACTAAATGCAAGTGAGAAAGAAAAATAAAACAATGAGTGAATTAAATTATACATTTACATAGTACTTTTTCAATGTTGAAGTACGTTGATTTGTGGTTGCAAAGTGGCAAAATGTGAAAAAGCTCAAGATGTGAGTGTTTTCATAAATCTGTAAATCTGTGTTAATATACTGACCTAGAGGATTCCACAATCATAGGGTAAAGAAAACAACACATTAGGCAATTCCCTAAACAACATTATAAAATGCTTCAAATAGCTGGTGGTAATGGCCATAATAGCCCCCTTTGAGTTGAAAAAGGTTCTTACTCCAACTGAGCTGCGGTTTACATAGTAGAGAAAAAAAAAGTTGTTGTTGGCTGGGCTCCTTTATGGCACATGAGTTGACTAGACAAGCAATGTCTGCACCCCTTTTCCAGCAGTAACCATGGTGACAGTAGCAGGCAGGGGCATCCTCATCACCAGGGGGCAGTATGGGCAATGCTATATAGTTGTCTGCACTGCCAACCCTCTGTCTTGCGTACCTCACACACGGACTGTACACAGTCACGCAAAAAACTACACATGTGCCACACTGTCCAAGCAAATCCGAATGAAAATGGACACAAACCCACTCAGTCAAGCACGAATTCCACACATGCACACTGTCATCTGCTCCTGACAGATGCCCCTTGGCGCTCAACAAAAGCCCCCTCCCACTCTGCCTCTCTCCCGCTCCCTTTTGTTGCTCACTTATTGTTGAATTTCCACCAAACAAAAATGCACATCCTCCCATGACACCAGCAAATTGATTATTTATGGTGCCAGGAGAACTGACTTATAACTGACTTGTATTCAACTGTGCGTGAAAGGCGAAGATGCTTGAGACAATGGATTCAATCTCTTAAATGAAAAGAGAGCAAAGTGTATTTACATAAGAATTTAAGGTTCTTTTTCCTTCTCTTTTTCACCGATTACCTGCTTGTGCTGTACTGGACAAGCCTGGGAGCAGTTTTAGGACTGTGAGATGACTTCACGAGGGAATGCAGAATGAGATCAGGAAACAGGCGGCCGCCTGACAGGGTCTGGAGAAAAAAAAAGAAATCACACAAGCCCTCATCCTCATGTTTGCAGAGGTGAGAGCCAGGCTTGCAGCCAGCGTGAAGATCGGTGACAAACAAACAACCAGACTTGTTATTCTGCAGGTCTCCGTGCCAGGATTCCTGCCCTTATCGCTGGCATCGAGTAATTTTGTTACACATGGTAAATATAGGAAGGCTTGTGACAGCAGACATCAGATAAAAGCTGAAAGTGCCTGGGCAGCGAAATGCGGAGATGGGACTGAATGCCTAAACAGGCTGTTATGTGAAGGAGAGAGACTGATGATTGTGGCAGGCAGATTGAGGTACTAAAGAACGGTAGAGGAGACGGATCCCGTCCCATGGAAATGTGTCATGAAGGCAGTGCTATTAACATCTTAATAAAAGGCTTGCCAGGCCCTGGAGAGCCCTCCTGAGTAGACTGCCTCCTTCTTTCCACACAGGGGCCCTAAAGCCGCTTTTTGCTGCATATCAACGAGGAAACATTTAGGTTGTGCCAGTCCTGCATTGTGAGGGTGTTAGACTTCCCAAAGGAGTAGCCTAAATGCCCATCCACAAACATGCTCCACTAAATTCCTTTATTCCCCCTTTCATTTACTGTTCATTTCTCCATCTGTTGGATTTAGTAGCCATACAAAAGCCTTTGTTTCAGCAAGCTGGCAGGCCTTTGGGACACCAGAGTGCACTCTGGGGTTCAGCACTAACTTGCTGCCATCAATAGATAGAGCAGGATCTGGACCAGCCACAGCAGCACCAGGCAGAGAAAGGACCGTTAACCATCCTCTGATGAATCTTGAAGCTGGCTGCTGCCTGTCTGTCTGTGTTGACACACAGGCTGCTTTCTTCTCCCAGCCTGACAAGGATGAGGAGACAATTTCTCCTTACAGAATTCCTACTGACTCCTACATGAGTTTGTTCCAAGCGTGATGGCATACCAGGGTTTTTTAATGTGCTCCTATCGTTTAACCTGCCTATAATGAGACAAGAATCCAAGAGTGATATAGTTTTCTCTGTCTTTTGGGGGATTAAGTAGCTGCAGCCGCTCCCCCACCTGTTGCTGCGCCCTGCGGTTGATGAGTCACAAAAAGGAGCCTTCTGAACATTTCCTTTGCTTTTTGCTCGAGAAAAAAAAAACAATTCAGCTGTTTCAGCACGAGTAACTCTGCACTGCCCCTCCCACACCTATTGCTTTGCTTTGTTTAGCAGACTGAAGGGATACTAGTACGTATTCCTCTAACTTTCTCTTTTTCCGATGCGTTTCTTGTGTTTATAAGAAAAATAAAGTCAACCGTCTGATGCTGTGCACTGCTTAAACAAGTGCACTTGAAAACCACAACTTAATTTGATGAAGTTTTATTCTTTGAATTCAAACTACGTGTTAAATCAAACTGACAAACATAATATCTGAATGTTAACAAAATATGTCTTATTAGTTTTACAGCAGTAGAAATTGTTTTTGCAATTTTATCAAGTTCCACATCTTTGTAAAAACGTTGCGTTTTATCTCAAACTTGTAACAACATGAGAATCTTTTTGGTCCCTGAAGAGAAAATACTTTTCATTTTCCAAGGATAAATATGTATCGAAAAAAGATATTTGAGAAATTGAAACTTTATTTCTCCCTTCATTTACAGAAAGATGAAATTCACTCCTTTTGAAAACAAAAAGGACTTTCTACATCTAGATTCTATTGTTCATCTTTTTTTTTGTCCCATCATAACTCTGCTTAAACAAATGCCAAAAAGACTCATCTCATCGTTTTTCAGGCCCTCTAGACTCCCTTGAATTTTAGCAGGACTTTTTAGTTTTAAAACAGTCTAGTTTAGACAGATATACTTACAGATCATAACAAAAACATAAATAGTGAAAAGTGTCACAAAACACAACATGTGATTTCAGTTCACGGCTCCATGGCAGGAAGTAGCCCAGGGACAGTAAGAACTTCCACTTTAGTCGTGGCATTTTCTTTTTCAACTGCCTAACGTTTTTCAAAAAGTCCCCAGCCTCACTGTGTATCATGAAAGAATGAAATGCAGAGTGGCATTGATTTCTGCACTCTGTGCCATGTGTTGCTCATACTGGGCAAGCTGCTACTTAACAATGTAGTGGCCTGTAGTCATCAATTTAAAACTGTTTCAACGATTGGATAAGTCGGTGAAGCCTGCACACGCAGCTACTGAAGATGATGAAAATGGCACAGGCAGCATGACAAAACCATTAAATGTGACCCTGTGGTGTTTTCCAACATCTGTTACTGTATGAAAATTATTAAAGCTGAAGAACAAATCTATGGTATATGTATGTTGACAGCATGAGGGGTTCATCTTCCTAGAGGATTAGCAACCAAATCAGAGACCCTTTAGCACAAAGTGGGTATGAGCTGATAAGATTCTGTTGTGTAAAGCAGAAAACAAACCAGATAAATGTTCCTCCAAGTACAGAAACTTTGAACCATGTAAATTAAACAATTTCTCTCAGTTTAGCACTCTGAATAAACTCTAAAGAAAACACTGGTTCCATTAACAGCTTTATTCACCATTTGTAAAAATATAACACTGAGCCAACTTTCCATGGTAAAACTTTCACACCAAAGAGTGCCATTAAAACCACTTTGCAGTGGTAAAATGTGGAGCGTTCGCTGCTAATATCAGATTTGTGTGCTACTGATTATTGAGGCTGGTAAAGATGCAAATCCTCCCAATGCATCCACCAGCAGATTGTTAACTGCATTTCTATAATATGTTGCAAAATTTTATTAGAAATATTTTTGCATTGCTGTTTAAAATGAAAGACATTAGATAATGTAATTGCCAAATTACACTATTTTGTTAAATCTCAAAATGAAATGATGAAGTGGAGGAGTTGTGGAAAAAACAGTTTGCAATTGCGTTGTTTTCATGAAATGAGAAACTCAATTAAAATCACATGTAAAAAAGTTTGCTCACACAATAAAACATACCACACTATGACCCTCCTACTACTTTACGTTGTCTTCTTCATGCGATGCAAAAAAAGAGTTTCCATTGAAATTCTTTGAAATAAATTAATTTCTGTCTGTCCAAAAAAAAAAAAAAAAAAAAAAAACACCTCATCCTGGCGCTAAAAGGTTTTATTGATAAATAAGTAATTTCAAAATTGCCTTGTTTACAATTCATTTTCGAAATGTTAAATTGTGTAATATGGTTAATGGGAATGCAGCTTGCTAAAAACCAGCACCCGGCAGCAGCAGACAAGATTCTTATCCCTCAGGTTAAATTATGTGCAACAACTATAGAAAAATGGAAAATAAAATACAGATTTCAACATAAAAAGGCAGTATTTAGCTATAAATATTTGAAGCTAGCACACTGATTCCTATTTCAAGTAGGTTACTGGATCAGTGTTTTGTCTATCAATAGGACTGTTATGACAACAACATAAGCATGTTTTATTGGAATCAACTATTTCAGGGACTATCTCCAAATTAAGACAAAAACAGGAGAGATTTTAGTGATACTGTCACAATGAACAGTCCAACATGAAGCACTAAGCTATGATGAGGAAAGAAATTATTTGTGATCTTTTGCTTTTTTTCTAAAAACTGAACTAAGCCTCCACTCCAGCTGCTCTCCATTTGTCCACTGTCACCTACAGACCCAGATCTGCATTTATGTCGAGTCTCGTGCTTACGCTCACCAAAGTGCAGATCGCAGACACAAACATGTACGTAACGAGGCTGAATGAGCAGAGCGTGTGTGGGTCAAGGAGATTGAGATCTCAGTTGTGACAGCTGGACAGTCGAGAGGTTCAGATAAACAGCCTGCAGAGAGCCAAGACGGGAGGCCAATGGCATTAAAACAAACACTTTGGTATTTGCACACTCCACCAGATAGAGAAAAGAAGGACCTATATCTATCAGCGAAAGAGTCACTGAAGCCACAAAAGCTTCATTATGTGCATGTTTGCGTGCATGTGGAAGCAAATAGACAGTTGGGTCGGTGGGGGTTGTTGCAAATGATGATTGGGGGTTTGGGAAAAATCGGGTCTGCGTTCAGAATACAAAACCGCTGAACACATTTGCAGCATTCACTCATTAAGAAATAGGTCAAGGATTCTGCTCGCATGCATAGCAACTTGTCAAAATCTCTCAAGCTGAACTGTGGCAAGCCTCTCTGCCTTAAGGGGGGGAATCCGTGGAGGAGAGAGCACTCTGGTCTGCCAATGCAGACCCCAGTGCTGTGTCATAGCACACAGAAAATAAGTGTGCACAATTGGACACAAAGTCCAATTGTAGAATGTAAACGAGCACAACTCATTGCTCTTCATCAACAGAGGACGCTCTTGAGCCAGTGGAGTTTGTCGCAGATGCTGATGGATGCTGATAGTGGCAGTGGTAGCTGAGGATTATGACAGTCTTCAGAAAGTCTGCAGTACATTAGGGAAGCACTTGCTATTACAGCAGTAAAGGTCACTTTTCAAAATGAAGTAACAGTGATTAGAAAGACATTTTAGGGGTGAAGACCAGCTCCATCCTGCCCAGACTTTTATCTATCTATAAATAAAGTCATCACTCTGCATTTTAAGCAAGCAAGATGGAATATTTTCCAAAAGGAAAACTGGATAGACTTGTGCAAACTGCTTTATTGGACACATAATAAACTAATGATTCGTTATTACAGCTTCTTGCAACAACTTTGGAAAACAAGCCCAGTCTGAGTAATTTCTACCCAGCTCGGTAAGGTTAACCTTATTGATCGTATCAACGTGTGATGTTGAGGTTCACGAAAGGCAATCTCGGATAGAAAGACTTCAAAGGCACTGCTTTCAAAAAAGAGAATTATTTAGAAAGGAGAACAAACCTTCTGCTCTTCTTTAGGTTGGTTCATTAAACCTGTCAACAATAACACAAACGCCTAAAAGTCAAGGTAAATTTGAGTGACTGAAGCTTAGTGAGGATCAATAACTGCCCAAAAAAAAAATCCAAGTGTAAAGCAAAATGATTTAAGAGTTACTGAAAAGCTCAGCTGGTCTGGGAGAGCAACAACACATAGAGCCTGCTTCTTTTTCATTATTAGATTGGAGTTAATTAGGTGAGCATAATCAGCATGTTATAATCTAAGCAATTGTGTGAGCTAGTTTGTTCTTCTAAAGGGAGCCGTATGATACCCCCTCCCTAGCTAGCGGTTGCTTTGGGGAGGGGAGACGCAAGGCTGTGTCCCTTTGAGATGGATATTAAAATAATTGTGTGCGGGGGGTCATGCTTCAGAGGCTCCAAAAATGTGATTTTGCCAAGAAGGAACTGGTTTTGATTGCAAGGGCAGAGGGATTAATATGCTACCCATCAGCCGCGGCAGATGTAAGTCATTTTCATGCAAATGCGAGGCAATTTTCTACTTAAGACAACATTTATTTTCTTTGGAGTGACTGTCATGGGCGCTCACCAGGACACTGGGAGTCTGACAGAGAATTAAGATTTGTAGGTGCATCGGCTGAATTGGACAGATGAGGTCTGGAGCCGTCTATGGAGCTCTATGCTGATGACAGTAAAGGGCAATAATGTAATAACACAACTGACAGAGGTCTAATAATGTGAACTAGATTAGTGATCCAGCCTTGGATTTTCTGATATTCATGAGTCGGAAAATAATTTTTGTCTCAGATTCAAGGTTCACTTGTTGCAAGGAAGCAGGTCTAAGTCAACAGAGTAAGTTAAAATTGTCATCTGAATGGACTTTGAGTCTAATTTACTTCATGCAAATGAAGTCAATGAGTCCGGTCAATGAGTCAGAATCACATGACTGCAGAATTGTGATAACTGTGAGCAAAAGGGAGTAAAATCTTCGAAGACTGATCAGGGAAACACATCCTGAAAGAATTTAAGAGCGGAGAATCCTGAAGACCTGAATTCTCGTCTCAGTAGAAAAAGTTGTAAAGAAATTAGGATTTTCATGTATCTTGGCACGCTCTCCACCAGTTTTTCACACTGCTGCTGGGTTCAGGTGATGACACAATCTGTTTCTCATCAAGTATAATCAGGTGTTTGAATTAAAATGGAACTTTTTTCATAAATAAAAGAGCGTTTACATTTTTGTACTAAAACTGTGGTGATTGTTATGAATGAAGTGGAAAGCTAGGTTTTTTGGGGGTTGAGGGGTTAAACATAGAACATAAAAGACAGCAAGGCAAAGATGCAAACACTCTGGTCAATGCAGGTTACTGCTCTGCTGTAAAGGTTTGATTCATAATAAGACTATGTGAGATGACGGTTTGTTTGGGCGTCAGTGTGAGCTGTGGCACCGACACAATGTAAAACAGGCTGCCACCTTATCAAAGCCTGCAGCCAGAGATGATAAATGTCTCTTCCCGGTTGTCTCTACGCAGTGTCGGAAATGAGCTCTCCTGCAGTGTCGAGAGGGGCTGTTTTGTGGCACTCAGTGTGAGATTCCAGCAAATAAAAATTCCCACTAAGGCAGATTTATCCGAAACAACTGAGGTGATCACTCACCTCTTCATTTTTAAACTGGATCTCCTGGTTCTGTGGCAGTTGTTGATGCGCTCCACTCACATCCACGGAAAGAAGAGGGGGAAAAACGACTCCAAATGCGCTCAGAACAAGGTTGTAAGGGAAATCACAAATGCAGTGTTAGTTGTTTCAGTCCCTTTAATGCAGGGGAGCCTCTCTGCAGGAAGGACCTGTTAAGAGGTGGCGTCATTCATTCAAAGTGGACACCTTGGACGTAGCAGCTGATTGCGAATGCAGCGCGTAAACTTCACAGCAGAGCCGGGGCGTCAGCATCTGAACTGACCTCCGGTAACTTCAGCGGACCGTGTCAGTGCGGCAGCGTTGCATTCCTTCGGGTTCCGCAGTCAACCTTCCTCCGGTGCGGCTCTACGGTGCGAGCCTCCAAGCCGCAGCCAGGCTCGCCATCACCCGCCGGTAGAAGAAGAAATGTGTTAGCGTCGGTGCAGACCCGCAGCGTGGTTTCCTCACAAGGCTCTGCCGGACTCACACACACAGACTGGCGGCTCCATCAGAGTACAGCGTTGTGTTGTAGCTGCGTGTTGGCGTGCGTGTGTATGCGTGTGTGCTGCTTTTGGCACAGAGCGCGCCTAAACCCAGCCCACTCACACTCCAGCTCATTACGGCGTTAACTGTTTCCGCCCAGAATTACACATTTTGTACATAATTTGGAGACTTTGATCAATATATGCAGAAAATAAATCAGAATTATCTCCTTGAAATGAACGCTTTACTAAACACAGATAAATATATATTTTTAGATTCACTAGTTAAGATTTAATTTGATAAGATGTGAAACATTTTTCAAAGTTTTCCTTTATTGTTTAGCAGACATAAAAATACATTCGGACTCAGCTCCAGTGTACTAACATTTAGATTGCAGGGACAGCAACTCTCCCACTGACACTTTTTGCATTTTTTTTCTGGATTTTTCTTTTACCTGACCAAAGCGATATAACATGGAAACAGTTCTACAGTAGTTCTAGCACATTAAAAAATGAAAACGTCTTACCCATCAGTTGACTTTGTCTTCACAGCACACAGTCCCCAGTCAGTGACAGGTTCCCTTATTCTACTTTGTATTAGAATACTGCCATCTATAGGTCAAAATTTGAATCTCTCGATCTCCCTTTCTCTCTTTATCTCTGTCTCTCGCCACACGTACATTGCTCATGTCCAGTTTTGTGTTCTTGTTTCCTTTCTCTTTTGGACCTAAATCATCTGTGTCCTCAAATTTATGCTGAAACGGGCTGGTTTTCAGGTAACACAGCGAAAGAAACGATTTTCTAAATCCTATCCCCCCAAACTGATCAAATGGACTGCGGCATTAGAGAGGAGGACCTTTACAACATGGAAGAAATATTTTATATATATATATATATATATATATATATATATATATATATTATAATATATATATATATAATATATATATATATATATATATATATATATATATATATAATAATATATATATAACAATGGTACTTGGACATTTGGTAAGTCTTGCAAAAATGTGAATTAGCCTGTTAAATGGTGCCATGTCTTCATTCCTAAAGCACAAGGTTCATAGGATTGCATATTATTTACCAACAAACATTTTTCAACATCTAAACACTGAAATCTTTACAAAACAGACAGCAGAAGCTCAATCAGATTGGATGTTAAACATTTCCTCACCACACATTCTCATCAATTTAATTCAGGTCTGGACTTCAAATAGGCCATTATTTGAAGTCCAGACTCTGGTTGTAAGTTTTGAGTCACTGTCCTGGTGATAAACCTCTGTCATGGTCTCATATTTTTTCCACCCTTTTTACAGATCTTCCTCCAGGTTTGTCCTGTATTTAGCTCCACTCATTTCCACTCATCTCTTAGCAGTTTTCTGTCCCTGCTGAAGCAACATCTTACCACAGCATGATGCCCCTTCTAACATGTTTTATAGTGAACATATTCTGTATGGAGTACAGTGATACCTTTCTGCTACACAGCATTTTTGAACTAAGAGGGTTGAGTACAGTTTTGTTTCAAAGAACTTTAAAAAATACATAGCACTTTCCTTTAGTCTTAAATTTGTTTGCAACGTTTTGTTATTCTAACACAGGAAGTCACTGGAAAGCAAGATTTTGAATGTAATGTGGCAAGATGTGAAAAAATTCAAGGGCCAGTCATTCTTTCTGCAAAGTACACCAACTTTAAATATAAAAGCATATTTTCAATGTTATCCAGTTGCATGAAGTTTTTTTAATCTTCCAAAGATATCAACTTTGACATAGTTACTAGCACATCAAAACAAAACTCCGCCCGTGTGCATCTTTGCTCTTTTTTGGAGGGTTATCGCAAAAAGTAGGCTATCCACTTTCTCTGATGCATCAATAATGCAGAGTAGGGAAAAGGGAGCCAGTGTCTGCCATCAAAAGTATTGCAAAACTGCCAGGAGGAAGAAGATGTGGAACAACCAGCATAAGTACACTAAAAGCACAGCGCCCACTTAAAGACAGGGTCAATAGCTGGAGGGCGTCCATATTGGAATTCTGCCGCAATGCCTCTCAAATGGATCTCAGTCAACCCTGGGCAGCAGGGGTAATCAAATACAGACTTTTTCAATCCATTACTCACGACCCTGTTCGGAACAAGCCATGATTTGTTTGATTGGAATATAACTCAATTCATATTGAAAGAACAGGTTGCTACAGAACAGTCTGGAAGAGATTTGGCCCTTTTTGGGCAGAAAAACATTGTAGATTAACTTATTCAGCAAGAAGAAGTTTAGTTATTCCCCAAAGAACAACTGAAGACATTAAGCTTCACTTTAAGATACATATTGATAGAATAAGTCTGGTTTTGGTGGCAGAGACTGTAAAACAAAATAGTGAGGAGAATATTGCTCAGATTTAAATTCGAAAAATGACTGAATCAGCTTAATCATAAAATTTATATCAGTGTTTAAAGTTGTCAGTGGATATGCCACAAATGGGAGACAGTTTAACAGGGAGATTTCTGCCTGGGTCTCCTGTGTGTCAAAGTAACTTTGATTTTTTTTTCCTACAAACACCTAAAGTCAATGCAAAGAACCAAAAATTTCTTATTGGTGTGATCATGACTCAGGGATGCTTGTCCACAGTGCAGAATGAAACCCCAGTGAGGTTGACAGTGACTTGCCCTAATCTTGGCCACATTTTATGACATTACAATAAATCTCAATGGGCTTTACTACAGCTGCATCGGATCGGTCAGGACAACATGAAATGGAAATGGTCTATATTTTTCAAAATATGGCTTTTGCACAAGTGGAGTCAATAGCCAATTGTCCACTGAAAATGATGAAATGCTAGCCTCACCATGCTTGGAGCTGAAGGACAAAGAACGACGTGAATCTGCCTCTGATAGGCATCTTCATGGTGATTCCATGTTGTTTCAAGTGGGTGTATTTGACAGCAGCATGGTACATTTTGCATATCACATTTGCGATATGCAAGCTGTCTGTTTTTCTTGTAAAATCTATAGTGTGGTCAGATTTTAGATGTACAGCATGGCGGTGAATGCATCGGTTCTGTTTGCTCCGCCATGTTTGCCAGTTGTAGTCACGTATTGGCGCCTACTCACACAGCGACTGCTTGTGGCGGTTGGCAGACTGGTCTACAGGAAGCCTGTTTGGTCAATAACTTGATTTATTCTATTTTATTTTTTGCTTTAATACAATCATTGTTTTGAATAGCAGTGAGTGAAAAATCATCATAATTAACAGAAATCATGGCTTTCAAACATCCATCTGCATGTTGAAACATACAAATGGATGTATGTTTGAAAATGAGATTCATTTAGTGATAAAGTTCCTAAAATAAATGGACTTTTAAGTCATATTGTCATTTATTCAATGGGTTTCTACCTGCGGGTGTGTCTACCAGCTCTGCACGTCTAGTATCTGAAATGTTAGATGAAGCGTCTGTCAACATTAAATTTCAATCACAGATTCTCAAAGAGAGTTTGGATCTGAACTTTGAGTTTGCAAACTCTTTAATCAGAGCACCTTCTTGACTATATTTAGTATACCTTGAAGAAATTTGAAAACCAGTTTTGTTCTCACTTTGTTTGCTATTAATGCCTTTATTAGAGCTGTGAGGACCTCACAGAAGAGCTGTTGTTTATACTGAGATAAAATGATACATGTTTGGACTCTGTTTACTCGTTAGTTGCATCCTTAGGGCAATTAGTTGCACCATGTTTCATTTAAGATTATCAAAGTAAGTCTGAAAAAGATGCAAACCACCCTTTTCAGATTTGTATTTATTAAAGCCACTGTTGAAAAATAACTGTTGATAAGGAATGCAGATAATTTAAAACACCCAATAACGAACTGCAATTATAATATAATGGATCTCCTTTTCACAGTTAACTATTTGGGCATCAGTGTGTGTGAAACAATTAATACTAGAAGTGCAGTGTGATGAGGCCAGAGATAGTTAACATGCAGACAGCTTAATTCCTTGAAGATCACTTCAGTGAATATATGAAACAGTGATCAGGAGGATAAATGTGTGCACATTGCTGGGGATGAAATACTGAATGCTTATGTGAAAAAATGGCCAACTGCAGAGTTGTTGGTTGACTGTTTTGCTGATCAAAGGGCCTCATATGCTATGATTTTATACCATGTCGGAGGGTTTCAAAGAGGGCTCCAACTGATGCCTTTAATTCTTTCTTTTCTATTTGAATGTGAGGAATGGAAAGTGGAAAACTGTCCACTCCACTGAACCACGGATCCCTCTTGTCTCAGGTACGTGAAAGGAATCAGCCGGAGCGGAGATCAAAACAAATACCAGGGAATAATTAGATGATAAACAAAACCTGAGAGCCATAATGCCAATGAGTTGCTTTTCAGAGGTAAATGTCAATTATAATATTCCCAATAAGCAATTACTTTTCTTAATCATTAATGTTTTATTCAATTGTTTATTGCAAGAAATAAGCTAATTAGTTTTTCAGTCTGATGAAAAATATTTACTGGAATACAAAACTGGCCATATTTATTAAAACCTCTGCTAAGGACGTGCAACAATTCCTCAAACAAATTAATCCTTAAAATTGCTTGTTGGGAAAAAAAATAATTGATTGAATTTAACAAAATATTGAGGCATAAACAAGGCAACAGTGCCTATGTTCCCCAAAACAAATCTATTTGAAAGTAAAACAAATGTAAACAATTTGCAACAACCTGGTGGCCTGTGTTCAGACGTCCTCAAACTAATACTTTATTGAACCACTATTTGGTTCAGGTTCAACATTCAGATTTCTTCACAAATTTGTTAGCATCCAATTATGTGATTATGAAATATTTTCCCACTCCACCTTTAGTTATGTTCCAAATCTATCAGATTGTAAAGCAATCTCTTGTCCAGAGCTCTCTTGACATTTTTCCAGAGATATTCTGTTTTGTTTTGCACCTTAGTGAGAAGCAAAACACTAAGGACACAAATTTTCTTTATTTAGATCTATGTTTGGACTCACTGTGGTCCTAAATGATGAAATCCCTCTT